TGTTCAGCCTCCCTGCCCTGCCGGACCCTGCCTGTGCCCTTGGCCTTGGCCTTGGCCTGGGGGGGGGTTCACTGTGCCTCAGAGAGAGGGCCCTTCCCCCACTGAGTCCTCCACTGGGCCCTGGGCCCTGGGGCACCTTAACCAGGTTAACAGGGAAGCGCCCAACCCTGGCAAGGAGCCCTCCCCCTCCCTGAGGTCTGCCTGTCCCTGAGCCCCCTCCCCCTGGCTGAGCTCTCCCTTCCCCCCAGCCCTGCCTCCCTTCCAGCCTCACCCCCTCTCTGAAATATTCATGGCCTCCCCCTCCCCTCTGCAGCCTCTGGAGGCTGCGCTGCTGTCCTCATCCATCACCGGCTGCCCAGCGCTCTGCCGCCTCCCCCCGCCCATCCGTCTTGCGCAGGGGACCAGGGACCGCAGCCTCCTGCCCCTGCCCCTACTCAGAAGCCCCCCGCCGCCCCCCACCACCGAGGTTTGCTTCTCAGCGCTGCTGCTGCTTCTTCCCAACATCTGGTCTTGAGGCAAGAGCTCTGAGGGTGCAGGCCAGGCCTGGTCACTTGTGTTCCCCAAGTCACTGACCTGTGCCTCTCGCGGCTCTCTCCTAGCCTCTTTTTTTAAAAAAGATTTATTTATTTGAAAGGCAGAAATACAGAAAGAGAAGGAGAGAGAAGAGAGGAGAGAGAGAGAGAAAGAGAGAGATCTTCCCAACCACTGGTTCACTCCCCAAATGTCCAACAGCCAGGACTGGGCCAGGCAAAGTCAGGATCCAAGAACTCCTTCTGGGTCTCCCAGGTGGGTGCAGGGGCCCAAGCACTTGGGTCATCTGCGGCTTTCCCAGGTGTGTTAGCAGGACACTGGATGGGAAGTGGAGCAGCCTGGGCTCAGCCGGTGCTGCAGGGGGTGGCTTAACCCACTTTGCCACAGCACCAGTCCCCCTGTCACCCCCCCAACCTCTTCTGAGAGTCGTAACTGTGTTACCGGGCACTTGGGAGAACTCACTGAGGTTGTGGGTGCTATGCCGGGAAGGGGCCCTCGGGAGGCCCGGCTCCAGGGTGCTGGCCCCCACCTTCTGTGTCCTGTCTACCCTGGCCTCTGCAGAGCCCTCTCACTCTTAGGTGCTGCCCTCCCTGATGACTCCTTCCCTGCCCAGAGCCAGGGAGGCAGGGCTATGTTGGCCGGTCGCTGGGGACACAAGGTTTGGATTCTGGGGTTTGAATCTGGCTTGACCGCCTGCCCTAGCCCTGAGGTCCTTCTCTGGACCTCCAGGCAAAGCCCATCCCAGCTCAGAAGCAGGGATTAAGTATGATTCTGCCTGCGAGGTCCATGATGCGGGGCCTGGCCCGTGGCCGCTGCCCCCCTCGTGGTAGCTGTTGGTAGACGGGCCTTTTTTGGTGCGTACATACCAACACCTCTTCCCGGAGAAACGAGGCTGCAGCACCGTCCAGAAAAGAGACCAAGCGAGGGAGGTGGAGCACAGCTCCAGGGGGAGAGAATTTTCAAGGGACCCAGGAATCCACTCTTTAAAGACAGATTTTGTGTGAACGAAAAATGCATTCCAAATACTAATGAGTTTAGCAGACCTTGAGGCTGGTTTCAAGAGTGTCATTTGGTTCCCAAACACCAAGCCGACCTGGACAGCCTCGCGGGCACACAGGCAATAGGGAGGGTTTTTGGGGGTGAAGGAGGAGGGGCTCCTGTCATCCTCCTGTCCCCCACACCCAAACACCCCCAATCCTTTCATGCAAACCTCTCTGCTCCTCCCTAGAAACTGGGACCTCCTACCTCTGGTCCCTGAGCCTGTGCAGCACCCCCATCCTCCCAGGACCCATCACCCCCTACACAGCTCTGGAAGCACACAAATGCCCAAGGCATCAAACAGACATTAGCACCACCAAGGGTGCCGCGCCGAGTGGGCGGGTGAGCCAGTGGGACACAGAAGCGGTGAAGGTTATTTACAAAATGAAAACGCTCACCTTGGGGGGTGCCTTCTGCAGGGTCCTTTCTTGCCTCCTAACGTCCCAGCTGGGGTCACCACGGGGTGCGGCCTCCTCCCTGCTCCTCTCATCAGCTCTGTTCTCTCCCTGGGCCCTTTTTCCTGACTTCCTTTGTTCCGGAATCAGCACTGCCCAGCCTCCCTCCCTAGGAGGGTCTCTGTCCCTTTCCCGTCCCTGCTGGGAGCTTTGACAGAGAGGCAGAGGGCACCAGGAGCGGGCTGGGGGAGGGGAAGCATGAGCTCTCGAATCTTCTGAGAAGACTTGTCCTGGCCTTGCTGAGATGCAAGGACTGGGGCGTCTTGCTGACTGTGGGTACCTGGTACCAGTGGTCTACCTGGTGGGGTCTAGAGCCCTGGTTTCTCCCAGTCTGGTTTTCCTGGATGATGACATCACTAGGAACAGTGTTATGTGAGATCCCTGTGGGGGCCGGTGCTGTGGCACAGTGGAGGAAGATGCTGTCAGCGACACTGGCGTCCCATATGAGCACCGTTTGAGCCGTGGCTGCTTCCGCTTCCCATCCAGCTCCCTGCTAATGTGCCTGGGAAAGCAGTGGAAGATGGCCCAAGTGCTTGGGTCCCTGCTACTCACATGGGAAAGCTGGCTGGAGTTCCTGATTTCTAACCTGGTGCAGACCTGGCCGTTGCAGCCATTTGGGGAGTGAACCAGCAGACAAAAGATCTCCCTCTCTCTCTTTGTAACTCTGCTTTTCAAATGACTTTTTTTTTAAAGATCTCCCTGCAGTCCACAATCTCATTTTCAGCTGCTTCTTGATTTAGAGAGATTGCTCCTCTTCCATTTTACAGATGAGAACACTGAGGCTCAGAGTGGGAAAGGAGTAGCCCCAAGGCTGTTGGGCTCTTTGAGTAAAGCAAAGAAGTTCAGCTATGAAACTGGCTTTGAGAACAGGATAGCCCTTGAACTTGCTGGCTGACCGCTCTGCTACATAGCTTGGTGGTCCCCTCCCTACTTTACACATCCAGTTCTGGGTGTTGTGCACTGAGCGCTGGACTGTTTCGTGTTTTGTGCTATATGTGGTAGAGTAGGCAGGGAGGTCCAAGCCCCCAGGGCTGACTGAAGTAGGTGCAGACAGGGCCTGCTGCAGAGGGACAAAGGACAGCCGTGTCACCGTGGAACCCAGAACCCGGCAGAGCACACGTGATGAACCAGCCACCGTGGCCAGCGCTCTGACCTGGGTGAGGACTGCCTGCTGCAGGCGCTTCCTCACGCCAGCACTTTTGTTAATTAATGGGTTCTGTTTCCCATTAGCTGGGAGCATCACAACCAGCAGACGGATGAGTGAAGTCCAGATAGAGGAGGGGATGCAGGCAAAGGGTCAGCCCTCACTGCTTGTTCACTGGGCCAGCATGCCAGGCCTGTCGGGCAGTGGTGGGAGACACAGGATCAGGTCAGGCCTGGAGCCTTCTCTCTGGCTCCTCACAGGGCTGACTGGGATTTGCCAACTGTGTTTGTGTTAGGACGCAGCTCATGCAGGGTGTCCAGAAGCCTCTCTCCCAAACGTTTTGTTATGTAACTATGAAAACAATCGTTTTTAAAGGTTGCTCATTGGCCTGGAAAGAGACAGAATTGGTGGTGGCCCCGAGAAGAAGAGAGTTGTGTGTGTGGCCCCCAAAAGAAGAGCTTACTTTTATCCCAGAGATATCAGCAATGGGGCTTTTGGAGGCAGCCTCGACTGGTGGGTGGACTTGACCCTGTGTAGAATTGGGTCAGAGTGTTTCAGGGTCAGCACAAACAAAGGCCGGGAGTGGGGACATGGGGGACGTGGCTGGCAGGTGCCTGCAGGTGAGGCCGAGTGGGAGGCCAGGCTGGGTCCAGCGTGTGGGGGACCCTGGCTGCCAGGCAAAGGAGGCCACACTTGGGTGCTGGGGAACCACAGCCAGTTTCTGTGGCTAAACAGGGCTCTTGCTTCCAGTCAGTTCCCGAAGACAAAAGGTTGTCCAAACTCAACATCCCTGGAACCATGGGCACACCACTGGGCTCCCTGCCGCTTCACCCATCGATCCCTCTTCCAAAGGGGACAGTCCCCAAATACCTGATCACATTCTGCTTCCTCCGACCCACACGTGGGGTCCTGTCTATGCTCTGGCAGGATGACACTCTGGTGTCCAGTGTGGAGGCTGGACTGCAGGGGGACTGTCACAGGAGACTGTCACTCAGGCCAGTAAACCAACCTCAAGGAAAGGGAGATGGCCAGATCTCTGGGGACAAAAGGCGCTGGCAGTGAGCCCACTCCTGTTGTGGACATGGCGGTGGGGGGGACAAAAGGCGCTGGCAGTGAGCCCACTCCTGTTGTGGACATGGCGGTGGGGGGGGAGGGGCTCTTTCAGGCCATCAGAAACCCCCAGCCTGGAGACCCTTCCACCTGGACCTGACTTTGCCATTTCACTTTGAGAGGACACTGGGTTTCTCCAAATCTCCAAGTCCAGTTCGTGACCGGGGGAAGATGGTGGTCAGGAGGCAAAGCTGTGAAGTGGACAGAGGGCCTGGCCTCACTTTCTCGTGAGAAGCCCCCAGAGACTGGTATAGGGGAAGGAGATGGCCAGGCAGAGGGAACACGTCAGGGTCAGTGGGGCAGTCGCCATTGCTGGGGGACCAGGGAGCGGTGGTGGGATCACCCGGGAGGTGTGCACTGGCTATGGTTCATTGCTGGGTACTGCTCCTCACACTTACACTCGCTGTTGCACTTAATCTCCTGAAACCCTCATGAGGTATGTACTAGCACCCTCATTTTCTACATAAAGACTCCAGCTGGGCTGGATTGGGTTTGGAGCCACAGTCCAAGGGGTTAACCTTGAATTCAGAGGTTTGGACAGGAGGAGTGTCTGACTGCAGAGGCCACACGCTCCATCCACTACCCCACAGCTAGGACATGAAGACCTGGTCAGGTACCAGGTCCTCAGGAAGTTAGATGACCGGCTCTCCCCAGACCTCCCTAATCCCTGCCCCGCCCCGGGAAGCCTCAGGCCACGGCAGTTTTAGGTTCAGCACCAAGGACAGCTCCACGGCCTCTGGGAGCTCCGCGGGATCCTCCATCCCTTTGGTTTGCTGCAGTCCTATTGGGAGCGCTATTTTCACACCATTTCAGGCTGCCCGGGCTAGACGAAGCTCTGGCTCCACCCCCTCACTAGCAAACAGGGATAATAGCAGTGAAAAACAAAAACAAAACAGATCCTGTCACTCTAGAAGTGACGTCCTTTCTACCTCTATCCCTGGGTCTGCTAAGTCCACCCTATCCCTGCACCCAGAACACCTGACCAAGTTCCCCTGACCATGGAGTCTTCCAGGTGCTGCCTCTTCTGGAGAACCTGTCCTCAGTGGCCACCCTCGTGTGTCCCCATCTCTCCCCCCACTGAACAAGTGCAGGGCCTGAGGCTACAACACTCGAGGGGCTGTGCTGCCTCCCCCTTCTCCTCCCCTCTGACAGCTCCAGCACCGAGTTAGGCAGACAGCACAGACACTCTGTGAGCACGCACCAGAGAGAGGCCGTGGTCTGCAGAGAAGCCACCATGGGCCCTGGGAAGCGGGACTTGGTGGCCATGTCCTGAGCAGGTCACAGGAGTGTGTGTGGTGAGTGGCAGCCAGATCTCTGTGGCTTAGAGAAGTAGAGACAATGGGTGCTGCACACTCTTTTTTTTGGACAGGCAGAGTTAGAGAGAGAGAGAGAGAGAGAGAGAGGTCTTCCTTCCATTGGTTTACCCCCCAAATGGCCGCTATGGCCGGAGCTAAGCCAATCTGGAACCAGGAGTCAGGTGCTTCCTCCTGGTCTCCCATTGGGTGCAGGGTCCAAGCACTTGGGCCATCCTCCACTGCCAACCCCAGGCCACAGCAGAGAGCTGGACTGGAAGAGGAGCAACCGGGACAGAATCCGGCGCCCCGACCGGGACTAGAACCCGGGGTGCTGGTGCCGCAGGCGGAGGATTAGCCTAGTGAGCCGCGGCGCCGGCCTGCTGCACACTCTTAACAGGAATTTGCTTGAGAAATAAAAGGAATCTGTGGGGTGGCTGCTAGAGGAGAGAGCAGGGTTGAGGGAGGGACAGGAATTGGGAGGAAGCCTGGGAGAAGGGAGAGCAGGCTGGGGCTGCAGGGGTGGTGATCACTGGAGAATCCCCAGGAGGCTTCAGGCCTGCAGCCACACAGGATGGGGGAGGAAAGGGTGGGAGATGTCCCAGAGAAACTCTGGGGGGTGTTCAAGGGCGTGCGGGTCAGAAAGCCAGGGCCCCTGTGGTTTGTAGGCAGCAGCGGGAAGAATCTGGTTGTCGGGAGGGTTGAGCAGGGAGAGGAGGAGGCCTGCCCTGCCCTGACGGCGGACTGGCCAGGGCCTCAGTGCAGGAGGACAGCAGGAGCCACTGAGGGCTGCCACGAGTCTGGGCAGCCAACCCGGGACTCCACTGGGTCTGGAGAGGAGGAGGCCAGGCAGACTGAGCCTGGCTTCCCGGGTCTCCCGTGAGCTCACTGACAACCCCGAAGCTGCCTCGGACTCTGCTTTTCCTCCTGCGCTGGCCAGAGAGATGGGGGCTAAGCAGGGGCAAGGTGGGGAACCCTCCACCTGTACCCTCTGCAGAGGGGGCTTCCCCGCTTCCCATCGAGGGTCGCCCGCTCCGACAGCGCCTCTTGTCCTAAGGTGGCTGCAGCAGGAAAAGCGCCCATGGTGCCATGCTGCTGTGGCTTTGTGTTCGGGGCCTGCTCCCCAGATGGTGCCTTACATGGGGAGAAGACCAGCCATGTTGGCTCCTCTACTTTGAGACAAAAGCCACCTTCCCATAACTTCCCCGTTTGATCCAAAGCCTGCGCCTGTGACAGTGTGATAGGCTACGGACACACAACCGCCTTGGAGCCCGTACCCTCTACCTGGCACCTTTGGCCTTGAAGCAAGGGCACTGGTGAGGGGGTCTCCAACTTTGCTGAGCCCATTTTACAGGTGGCAATAGCCAGGGTGCAGAGGAATTAGGTCAAGAGGGTCGCGCTGTCAGTCAGGGGTAGTTCTGGGGTCGGAACGTTTCTGAGGTTTCACGACTTGCACGCTGAGATCTAGGCTGCCCCTTCCAACCTTCCTCAGCTGAGCCACAGACAAAGCCCCAGGGGCAGGCACAGCAAGGCCCTCGATGGTCCTTGGAACCCCTGCCTCGCATCCTGGGCCAGGCCCGGAGTCCTCTCTTCTTCTTGCCATCTGCAGTCCCAACCACCTGAGGAAGTGCCCAGACTGCCTCCTGCACTGCCAGGGGCCCTGGTGCCGGCCCCACCCCTGTCCCACCCCCGGCCCCACCCATGACCCGCCCCCATAAGCCTGCACTCACAGGTGGGCCCCAGGCCGGTCGTCCCTGGTGAGCACTCCCTCCTTCTCCATCAGCATCTGCCGAAAGGTCCCAACCTTCTGCCGGATCTCCTCTTCTGAGTACCTGCGGGGGGCACACTCCATGAGCACTGCTCTCCAGGCTCTGGTCCCCTCCTGAGGGCCCTCCCCGCCCAAGCCCGGGCCCCCACCTCCACGTCAGAAGCCCACACTCCAGCTTGTGATAACTTGTCTGAGGTCACAGGACCAAGGCAGGCCCCGGGCACTGAGGCTGCTCCAGAACTGCTCACTTTGCACAAGCACACGACTAAACCAGCAACCAACCAAATAAATAAAGCAAAGGAGGTGGCGAGAGACGACTCTGGAGAGGCTGAGCCCTGTTCCCTCCCACGTCTGGGTGCAGCCTCTCTCTAGAGATGACGGGGAGAAGTGAGGAGCCTGACTTCAAGGCAGACACAGCCTTTTTCTGCTGTCTCGTCTTTGATCCAGCCTTGGGAGGTCCTCAAAGCACCCCCACTCCAGTGGGATCAAGACTGCCCAGCAGCTGATTGGGGTTCTGGTGCTAGATCCAACGAGTCTCTCTGCTGCTGGTTCTCCCTGCCTCCCTGAGCCCACTCTCCGGCTAGGGACCAAAATCCAGAATATCTCTTCCTCATTCCTCATCCCATACCCTGGCATCAGTCACTACCCTCTCCGAGGCATTGTATCACCGTGACAGCTGCTGCCCTGGCCTCCCAGACCCTGTGGTGTCCACGCTGTGTCCACGCTGCCCCCTCACACAGCCCCTCATCCTGTGCCTGCCGCATAGTAAGGTGGCTAGTGGCCACCTTACTGAATGATTCTTGGAGTCCCGCTGCCCTCCCGGGTCTGCAGGTCACTGTCCTGGACAGTGGACCGTCCATTTCTGGGGGCAGAAAAGGAATGGGGTCCTGTGTTGTCCCTGTCGTCTGTTCATTATCGACTACCTGTCCCCACAGCAGGCCCAGCCCTCCCCACTCAGCCTGTCCATGAAAATGGGACACTGTCCCCTCCCTCTTCCCCCTCCACCTCTCTCTGCCTTTCTTCCCTGCACTCTTTCAGCAAACAAGCGCAGGGGAGTAGCTTGGCAGTCCTGCTGCAAAGCCTTGGCAAGACGAACACATCCTTTGACTCACGAGTGAGCTTGCAGGTGTACCCTGTGGAGAGGATCATGGCTAAGCACTGAGACTTGACTCATTGGATGTTTACGGCAGGACGGATGCCTCCCGGCCGGCCTCGGTGCAATGCCAGCGCGTGCGTTTCCATGGCGACCGATGCCTCCCAGTTCCCGGCAGGTGGTTATGCTCTGCTGACTCGTCTGTACCCTGTGCTGGCCTGGAGGTCCTTGCTGGAGGGCAGGGGCCTTGTCTGTCTGGTTTGTTGTAGCATCCTCAGTGCCTGGCATCGAGCCTGCCACATTGGGGGCATCCAAAAATTTTTGGCAAATGAGTGTTTGGTGATGGAGTGGCACTAGAGGTTGGATTCTTATCTTGGAAAGACAGCTCTGGTGGCTGCAAGTAGGAGGAGTGAGGCCTGCAGGCCAGGAGCCTGGCTTTGGGCCTAACATCTTCCCCGGAAGGGCAGGGCTGGGGCTTGGGGTCCAGTTGAATCTGTTGGGGGTTGGGTAAGGGGCACCCCTGCCTCTGAGCTGGCTTCCCTGGACCCCCAGCTGGAGCCCAACTGCGGATTCTGGCTCCTGTGTAGCTACATGGGGAGGGCTGGGTCCTGGCTTGGTTGGCTGGGGCACTATTCTTCCAACCTCCTACTTCCATGTGGCTCGGGCCACCCGGTGCTGGAGACTCCACACCAGCTTCTCCAAGCTCTGAACCCTGCTCCTCTGTGTCACCTCAGACCCTCAGCATTTGCTCGGAGGTCCCTTGACCTGGTTTGCTCTCTGGGGAGTGCAGGCCCCCCTCAGCCGGAGCCCCAAAAAGAAGGGCCGGTGGCCCCTCTCTGAACAGCAGAGGCAGAGAACAATGGCTCCCAAACACCTGCTCCTCAGCATACTGGCTTGTCATTGTCACCCACACAAGGACCAACACAGCACAGGCCCTCAAACCCTGCTCAGCCCGATTCAGAGCCCCGGGAGGAAGACAGAGGCTGGTGGCCCATGGCGTGAGGCCTTGGGCCTGGCAGGGCTGGGGAGGAGACGGCTAAGGACAAGCCCAGGCCAGTGCACCAACAACACAGAGTGGGGTTCAGGCCAGGGTCCACGTCCCCAAGCCTGGGGGTGGTCAGTGGAATGTGGGATCCCAGCAAGACCTGAGGCAGCCCAGACTCGGCATGGGGTGAGGTTCCATGACCAGCTCAGAGGAGTGTGGAGGGCATCTCTGCCTCAGGGGACCCAGGGATGACATGATTACTGAGCCAAGAGGTCTCAGGTGTGGCCACCACCTGAGACCCCTCAGGGCCAGCCCTCCTGGCTGAGGCTCTGCGGGGGCAGCGACGAAGCGGCCAGGCAATACAGCCAGACGCTCCCTCCTTCCTGGCTCCGTGACCTTGGCAGATCACACACTTCTCGCCTTAGCATCCACATCTGTGAAACCTTTCAAGGCTGTCCCTAGGATGAGGTGGAGCAAAGCGGTGCACCCTGAACCTGGCACGCAGCAGGTGCTGGGCGCACAGCAGTGATTGGAGTGTGCTCACCTCCAGCAGTGGGGATGGAGGGTTCATTCACCCCAGGGCCCCTACCTCCTTCCACTGCTCACCAGACAGGCCTGGTGCTGGGGCTCTGGGAACCACCTGCGCTGCTTCTCCCTGCTTTCCCAGGAGGTGAAGGCTGAGACGGAGCGGGAGGCTGCTCCCTTGGGAGATGGCAGAGCCAACACCTCAGACTCAAAGGCGAGAGCTACGGGGGGTGGGAAGTGGGGCAGCAGCGTCTGTGTCCCTGCCCCTAGCTCCTCAATGCTCCCTAGCCTGTCTGGCTCCCTCAGTCCCCATCCTACTGTGGTTTTGGGGACCTCCCTGGGGGCAGTTCTGGGAGTCCCTGGAGTAGAAAATGCTGACTTTTGCTTCTCCTTGCCCGAACCCAGGGCTCTGTTCACTGCAGCCCCAAGCTGGGGGGAGATGCCCTTTGTTGTCCCCATTTCATTGAGGGGCAGACTGGACCAGGAGTGGGGAGGGCTCAGAGCCCCACTCTACCCGGGGACAGAGCCGTGCTCCGTCACTCCTAAGAAGACGGGTGCAGAGTTGGGGACTGGGGTGGGCACACCCAGCATGAAGGTGGGGGCCGTGTCCGTGCCCTCTCTCATGATTGCAGGCTGCACGTGCGGCGTCAGTCCCCACTGAGTCGGCCGCCATCCGTCACTATTAAGGGAAAGGATTGCTTTTTAATGGGGCCAGAGAGAGGGTGCTCCTGTGACTGGCGGGGATATTTGTCAAATGCCTGAGAACCCAGGAAATAAATGCCAGCAAGCCAGTGCTTCTGGAAGTGGGTTATGAATGACCAGAGTGGATAAAGCAGCAAGGGTGCCCGGTGCTTTGGAGCCCTTTGTGGGGACAGGTGGGAAGGGGGCACTGGGCGGGGACCCTCGGGACAACCCCAGGAGGCAGGTGTCCCTGGTTCACAGGTGAGGAAACTGGGGGGCGGGGTCTCAGTGCAGCAGGGGCCCCCTCAGCCGACTGCTGTGAAGGGAGGGGAGGGCAGCGCTTTGGTGGGAGGGGCAGATTCCAGGCTAAAGACCCCCTCCGTGAGGACCTGGGGGTGGAGGGGGCCTTGGCTGAACATCTGGACACCTTGTGGGTGTTTTACAGAGAGGCAGAGGCCCTAGAGGCTGGGGCCCCACATCAGGACATGGCCAAAGGCCTTAGCCCTCTGCCAGGGGGGCAGAAGGGCCATTAGCGTGTGGTGAGAGGGTGGGGTTTTTCCAGGGGAAGGGTGTTCAGGGTGGGAAGGGGGGAGGGGGGAGTGTGGTGAGGGGGAGGAGTCCTGTCTGTCTTGCCTCACTTGCTCCCTGTTCACGGCACCTGCCATACTCCTGAGTCTCCCAACTCAGCGGGGTTTGCAGGCCCGTGGGCACTCACTTCCTCTTCCCACACCCACAGTGCACCAAACCTGCTACTCTCCTCTCCAACCTCAGCGTCCATCCCTCTCTGCAGGGAGCCTCCCCGCCTCCGCCCGCTACCTGGCCCACAGCTGCAAGTGACCACCAGGTCTCTCGAGCAGCTGACCAGGACGCTGGGCTCAGGCTCAGCCTCGGCCTTGCCTTCCTGGTGGCTTTAGCAAGTGAACCTCGGTGTCTCCCCAAGCCCCACAGAGACGGTGGCCCCCGTCTTGGCTGTCTCCTGGGGAGCCCACGAGGCCTGGTGGGGGGCAGACACAGGTGCGGCTTGGGAGGACAGCTGTACACGGCTGGCCCGGCCCCCAGGTGGCCCCAGGCACGAGGGCTTCTGATTCCCCAGCGCCTGGACAGTGTAAGTCGGGCAACAGGCCCTGTGCCCCACTCTTTTGGGGTTCCTGGGAGCCGCCCCCATGGGGACAGCCTTACTCGCTTCTCTGCCTCCAGGAGTAAGGGGTGTCTTGCCCCTGTTAGGCTTTGGTAAGGGGTCCTAAACCCCACTGCCTGATGGGGGCCGGGCATCACACACACACTTCCTCCTTCTCAATCCCACAAACTCCTATTCATGCTTCAGAGCCCACTCAAATGCCTCCTCTCCTGGCAGCCCCTCCCTCCCCTTCCCAGCCTCTCCCCGAGCTCCTGAAGCCCCTGGGCCCGCTCCTGCCCTGTCCTGCAGCTACGGTTCTGCCGTGCGGTGGCGGAGCTGGCTGCCTACATGTCGCTTTCTGTTCTGAGCTGGCGAGTGGGTGCGGGGTGGTCTTTGATGACAGAAAGTGAACTCCAGTTCAGCTCTGGGCCCTGCCTTGTCCTGCAAACACGGTGCCTGGCCCTGTCCAGGAAGAGACCACAGGTTCCCCTCACACACAGTGAGGGCCTGTTGTGCTTTCCTACCTGGCTGGAGCACCGGCTCAGACCCACTTCACAGAATGGGATACTGAGGCCTTGCCTGGCCCTGGAAGGGATGTTTCCAGAGGGCATGGAGTCAGTCAAGGCCCAACCCAGAGCATGACAGAGCTGGCCTTCAAGGTCGGCTTCTCGGTTGAATAAATCCACGAATGAAAAGTGGGCTGGACTCGCCAGGGTCCCCCCTCCACTGGCCCGGATTCCAGCCGCTGGCCTGGAAGGCCCTCCGGCTCCCCCGCCCCCGCGAGCCAGACCCCGCCCCGCCCCGCCCCGCCCCGCCCCGCTCACCCCTGCTCCTCCATCATCTCTTGCAGCTCCATGCACTTGAGCTCCACGCGCCGCTTGCGCTCGTGGTCCAGGATCTCGCGGTGCGCGCGCTTCACCAGGCCCGGCTCCGCGGCCCGCAGCTCCTCGTCGGCTCGGGGCCAGGCCCCGGAGGAGGCGCCGGGCTGCGGGAAGCCGTTGGCGGCGTCGGGCGGGGACGGCATGCCGGCTGCGCCATTGTTCACGGTGGAGGACATGGCGCCTGACCCCGGACCGCTGGCCTCGGCCGCCCGCCCTGCGGACACAGACACCAAGAGAGTGGTCACTTCTGGGCCACCTGCTAAGCCCATCTCTGCGCAGGTTAATCCCGGGGATTTAAAAGCCCGCGCGTGGCTCTAATCCGCTTCCCCTCAGCCCGCAGAGGGGGGCAGATGGCAGGTTTGCACCTCTGGGTCACACCTCCGGACCTGGGCAGGGTCGGACGCCGGACCCTCCCCGTCTGTAACCGTGTCATTTTCCCCATCTTGGAACCGTGTCATCTCCAGGGTCCTAGTTAGGAGAAACCTCTCTGTCTGCAGCCCCTGTAGGAACGCCTCATATGCCTGATCCCTGCATCTCCCGAAATCTGTTATTCTTTTTAAAATTCATTCACTGGATAGCCGGCGCCGTGGCTCAATAGGCTAATCCTCCACCTTGCGGCGCCGGCACACCGGGTTCTAGTCCCGGTCGGGGCGCCGGATTCTGTCCCGGTTGCCCCTCTTCCAGGCCAGCTCTCTGCTATGGCCAGGGAGTGCAGTGGAGGATGGCCCAGGTGCTTGGGCCCTGCACCCCATGGGAGACCAGGAAAAGCACCTGGCTTCTGGCTCCTGCCAGGATCAGCGCGGTGCGCCGGCTGCAGCGGCGGCCATTGGAGGGTGAACCAACGGCAAAAGGAAGACCTTTCTCTCTCTGTCTCTCTCTCTCACTGTCCACTCTGCCTGTCAAAAAAAAAAAAAAAAAAAAAATAAAAAAAATAAAAATAAAAAAAAAAGGAAAAAAAAGAAATTTCATTCACTGGAGACAGCGTTGTGGCGCAGGGGGTCAAGCCACTTCCTGCAGCACCAGTATTCCATATGGGCGCCGGTTCGAGTCTGGCGGTTCCACTTCTGATCCAGCTCCCTGCCAATGTGTCTGGGAAAGCAGCAGAAGATGGCCCAAGTGCTTGGGCCCCGGCGCCCACGTGGGAGACCAGGAAGAAGCTCCTGGCTTCCAAGCCGTGCAGCTCTGGCTATTGTGGCCATCTGGGGAGTGAACCAGTGGATGGAAGACTCTCTCTCTCTCTCTTTCTCTCTCTCTTCCTTTCTGTAACTCTGCCTTCCAAATAAACAAATCTTTCGAAGAGCTTTAGGTATCTGAAATGCAGAGAGACAAAGATCACTCATTCCCTGGTTAACCCCACAAATGCCTGCACCAGCCAGGGCTGGGCCAGGCCAAAGTCAAGGGGCCAGAACTCAATCCAGTCTCCCACGGAGGTGGTAGCGACCTGAGTACCTGAGCCATTACCGGAGGCCTCCCAGGGTGCACATTAGCAGGCAGCTAGACCGGAAGTGGAGCTGGAACTCAAACCCAGGCCCTCCAACGTGGGATGCAGGTTCCCAGGCGGCACCCGGGCTGCCACACAGACACAGTTTTCACCAGCTGCTGGCTGATGTCTCCAAAGTCAGCATTCCCAAGGCCACAGGACTGTCCTCTGTTCTGGAGACACTGCCCCTGTTGATGTGACCAGAGGTGACGGACCTTGGCTTTCCTGGCCGCCGTGTCCTCCTGTGGGCTCAGGTGGGTGGGGTGGGAGTCAGCATGGCTTGGAGGTGAGCAGCCCTGATGTAGAGCAGACAGACAGACACACAGACTCCAAGGACCTCTGTCTTCACGGAGGGGAGGTGCCTCCTGAGCTATTCTCATCCCCTTTCTCCAAGGTTCTGGTTGCTAAGCAACAGGAAGGCCTCCTTCCCCGGGAGTGGGGTGGAGGGAGGGGGGAAGAGAGGCAAGGACCAGGCGTGCTCAGACCTCCCCGATGGGGCCTTGCCTGTGCCCTCACTGGCCTCAGAGTGGGCAGGGTTCAGGGCCACGGGCACTGGAAGTCGGGGGAGGACTGTGAGAGCACCCGAGGCTCTTCAGGGGACAGGGCGGCAGGAGGAGACGGGAGTGATGGGGGCACGAGCTCCTCTCCTCCGTCCTTTCCCCGGGGTCCCCTCCACTCGCTGTGGGACCCTGAGGATGCTACCGCCCCTCTCTGAACCTCAAACGGCCACCTGCGCCCAGGAGCACCACCGCCCCAACTCCTCAGTACAGGGGGTCCTTGGGCTCAGGGTCCTTTCTGTCTCTGTCTCTCGCCGGTCCTGCACCCTGCTGCCGCTTGCTTTTCTTAGGATGGTCCACAGATACCACCGCTCACTAGGCCCAAAGCAGAGGCCCAGGTCCTGGCCACAGAGCATGGTTCACGGGGGCCCCCTCCATCCGTTGGTCCCTTGGGACAGGGACATGTGTGGCTCTTGGCTTCCTGCGGCCCAGCCCTCATCGAGCTTGGCCCCTTCTCCCCTCTTCTCAGCTCAGCCCCTCCCATGTCGCAGTCTCAGTCCAGGCCCCGGCTCCGTCCTCTGCCCCATCGGCAGCTTGGCACGTCCATCCAGAAGCACATCAGACTGTGTCGTGCCCTGGGTCACAGCCTCTCCCTGGGGTCCCACCTGACTCCTGCTGCCCTCAGAGTTACTGCCCGTGGGCCTTCCCTCCCCATTCTGGCTGGTGTCAGCCTCTCACAGTTCTTGCCCCTTGCCGTCGTCATTGTGTTTCACAGTCTGGCTCCCCATGGGCTGAGGACCGGTCAGCTTTCAGCTCCTGGTGCCAGCCAAGTGCCTAGCAGGCATCTGCCTAATGTCAAAGACAATGGCAGAGGAGGTCGGGTAAAGGGCCAGGTGGCCTGCAAGGCCCCTGCTGCTCTCTCACAACTTTACCCTCCTGGGTCCGCCCCTTCCTCCGCCCACCTCCAGCCCCACAGCTTGGGCCAGCAGTCCCCAGACAAGCGCTGTGGCCTCCTGCCCTTGCGCCTTTGTTCACGCACCTTCTCTGGCTGGAATCCCTCTTTCCCTGCTTCTCCATCAAAGAGACTCCAGCTCCCCCTTCGGGGCCCAGCTCGGAAATCACCTCCTGCAGGAAGGACGAGCCAGCCCTTCCCTGCGCTCCCGCAGCCCTAGCCCTGCCTCTTTGGTAGAAAAGTCAGGTGCTGGTCGCTGCCTCTATTCTAGAGGGGGGAGCTCTTGGCGGGACGGGGCCATGCCTTCACTCTGGCTCCTCTGAGCCCCAGCACAGGCAACGCAGGGGCTGCTCTGGGGAGAGGGAAGTGTGGGAGAAAGGACTCCGGCTCCAGCGAGAGCCCTTGGAGCCAGGAGCTGAGCAATGCTGCTCTGCACGCCCGCCCTCGCGTGCAGCCTAGAACTTGACCCAGGCTCCCGGGGAGCAGGAGTGAAAGCTGCAGAGCAATTTTGAGAGCACGCAGATCTCCAAACCCCAAGCAAGTCTCTCTCTGGCCTCAGAGGGTGCTGGGCGACGCTGCTTGGCTGCCGAGAGCTCTCTTTGCAGAGCTGGTTGAGATGGAGAGGCGAGGGGGGTGAAGACGGGAGCTGGCAGAGGCAGACTGGATGCGGCCAGGACAGAGCGGATTCTATCAGTTTCACCTGGTGTGCTGCAGAGGCGCCAGGCAGGAAACTAGGCAGTCATTGACAGGAGGGAGGGAGGGAGGGAGGGAGAGAGAGAGAGAATTCTCTCCCCAAATGGCTGCAGTGCAAGGACCGGGGCTGGGCCAGGTTGAAGCCGGGAGTCAGGAACTCCATCCTGGTCTCCCACATGGGATGCCAGGGGCCCAAACACTTGGCCATCTACCGCTGCTTTCTCAGGTGCATTAGCAGGGAGCTGGATCAGAAGTGCAGCAGCCAGGACTTGAACTGGTGCTCCAACATGAGGTGCCAACATCATAAGCAGCAGCCCCCAGGTTTTATGAGACCACAGTGAGAGTTCAGAAGGAGAAGGCGGGGCCAGGGCTGTAGCATACTGGGTAAAGCTGCCACCTGTAGGGCCGACACCGGTTCACTCCACTGGCTGCTCCACTTCCAATCCAGTTCTCTGCTATGGCCTGGGAAAGCAATAAAAGATGGCCCAAGTCCTTGGGCCCCTGCACCCATGTGGGACACCCGGAAGAAGCTCCTGGCTCTTGGCTTCAGATCGGTGCAGCTCCAGCCATTGTGGCCATCTGGGGAGTGAACCAGCGAATGGAAGACCTCTCTCTCTCTCTCTGCCTGTGCCTCTCTGTAACTCTGCCTTTCAAATAAATAAAGAAATCTTTAAAAAAAAAAAAAAAAAAGGAGAAGGAGAAGGCGACCTCGTGTGGGCGGGTGCTAATATCCTGTGCTGTTCTAATTGGTTGATTGATCGACCCATCCTCATAAGGAGCTGACTAATGTATCAATGTCAAATTAGACACAGGTGGTTAGTGGAGAGCCACAGGGGCTCTGTCCTCTCCCAAGTCTGGTCCCGTCTGTTCACGACTGACTGGGGAAGCTCTCCTAGCCTGAGGAGCAGATTCGCTGGGAATACCACCTGGGGTTGTAAATTCGGGGTCGGAATCCAGAGGGACTCAACGCATGGGAAAGACGGGAGGAATCGGAAGGGGAAACAGGGCAGCGCAAGTCCTGAACCAACTTTCTAAAATGGGGAGTTGGGTAGACATGATGGAGCAGCAGTATTTTTAGGACAGATTTAGGGATTTTCGGCGATCACAGACTCCATTGGAGTCAAGATCATGGTGTGACTGCCAGGAGTGCGCATTATCTTGGGCGATGTCGACCGAAACACAAAGCCTGGGAGGGGGCGAGCGGGAGAGCACACTGGGGGTCAGAGGAGGACTTAGGTCCGGCCTGGCTGAATCCGCCGAGAAGTTTGTCACAAGGGGCTTGTCCGATGTGGCAAAGCCAAATACGGAATGCCCAGTCCAATGGAGATTGAATTTAATATTTGGGACACACTTCAACCAAAAAATTATTCACTGTTGATCTGAAATTCAAATATAATTGGGTGTCCTATATTTGATACGTCAATCCAACCTGGGCCCCTCCCAGATGCACCGAATGGAAATCTCGGAGAGAGCGTGCTGGGGTTCCCCAGGGGATTCTGATACAGCCCACCTGGGCGCCACGATGGGGAGCAGGTGGCCGGAGCTGGCCTTCCGAAACTTTACTGGGTTTCAGAATCACCCGTGGGGAAGGT